GAGCTATTGTTTTTCATTTATCCATGTTGCACCGTCTTGAATCATGAAGCATGAAAAATTCAAGTACATTTGATGAGATTATAAGAAAAAAATATTAAGAACTCCAGGAGAAGCAGGCAATATTTATCGGATGCTTTATTTCATAACCAATTATATCAATAAATATCTTTTTATACTCACAGATGTACTTCATGGGGTAGCATCTGCTCCTGCAATTCCAAGCTTCATCTTGTTTCTGTTATATAAATGGCAAAGAAGGCATTTATCTATGTATGATTCTATTGAAGAATTCTTGCAAAGTCACAATAACCTTATGTCAGTAAGGTATTCTTACTCAGATATCAAGAAGTTGACAAATGGCTTTAAGGAAAAACTAGGGGAAGGAGGTTTCGGCAAGGTTTACAAGGCTTAAGAGTGGTGGTCTTGCTGCAGTCAAGTTATTGGGCAAATCCAAAGTCACAATCCAAGATTATTTCAGTGAAGTAGCAACAATTGGGAGATTTCACCATGTCAATGTGGTAAAACTTATTGGCTTTTGTGCAAAGGGTTCAAACCACGCTCGTGTATGGCTTTATGCCTAATAGTTCTCTTGATAAATACATTTTTACTAGGGAAGAAAGTACAACCTTGGGTTGGGAAAGACTATACAAGATTTCTCTAGGAGTGGCTCATGGGATTGATTATTTACACCAAGGCTGTGATATGCGAATCTAACGTTTTGACATCAAATCTTACAACATTCTTTTAGACAATAACTTCATCCCAAAGATATCTAATTTTGGTCTTGCAAAATTATATTCAACAAAAGATAGCATCATGTCCCTAACTGCAGGAAGAGGAACACTAGGATACATGGCGCCTAAGTTGGTCTAGAGAAAAGTTGGAGATGTCTCACACAAGGCTGATGTCTATAGCTTTGGAATGTTGTTGATGGAAACAGCTAGCAGGAGAAGGAATTTAAACCCACATGTAGAGCATTCAAGTCAAATTTACTTTCCTACATGGGCTTCTCAACAATTGAATAAAGGAATGGAGCTGGGAATAAGAGGAGCCACAGAATATGAAAAGAGAATAGCTAAGAAAATGATCATTGTGGCTTGGTGGTGTATATAGGTGAAACCAAGTGACCGTGCTTCGATGAACAAAGTGGTGGAGATGCTTGAAGCAGATCTTGAAAGTTTAGAAATGCCTCCTAGGCCCTTCTAAATATATCCATATGCAACTGAAGAAGATGATGCTAAAATGAAAACCAACTCCACAAACCTTTCTAGTTACTCGTCCTATGATGATATAGAGATAGAATCAGACTCAGTCAGTTTAATTGAAAATGCAAATTAAGCGAAAAGGTTGCAAAGAAGCCTAATTAAGTAGAGTTTTCTTTGTTCATGAGTTACACCAAAACAGCGGGTATCCATCCCCCTTTGCTACCCACTTCTCACCCCACCTAGATGTCACAATGGCTCTAGATTTGCATCACGTTTTTTGGTGTTCAATTCTCAAGAAATGGTTAATTTTCTTTCCAATTGATTAACTAACAGAGTTGCACCCACACACACACACAAGAAAGAACACAAATAAAAACTAATAAATTGTAAGTGGCATATATTACCTGAGGCATTAAGGCATCCATCCCGTTGAGAAAAATCAAGCATTGTTGTCCTAGGCAGATGCATAATTCAAAGTTGGCCTAAGAGATTGAAAAAACATTCAGATGTGATGAAATGGGACTACATTCAATGCGAAATTTGTTAGGGTATTATTTACATGACTCACTTGGAAAAATCCTGCATGTCAGAATCAAGAATCAAGCTGCATCCATGGGTGATGGCTGTACCTTCCTAATGCATCAATCAATTCATCCTTAAATGATTGAATGTGATAGTCCATTCTCTCCATAAGAAGAAGAGGAACTCCGGATTGCATTGGGGTTTCCTGGACGTACGTTGTAAAAAAACAGGGATTGGAGAGAGAGCTGTTGAATTTGGGTAGAAGGAAAAGAAACGGAACTGGGAGAGTGAGCAACGGAGAAGGAGAAGTCGGGAATCGGAGGAAACTAGAGATTTTTCGGTGAAAGGTGAACTTTGCACGAGGGGGTATTTGCAGCAAGCCAGCAACCCAGTGGAATTCGGGAGACCCGCCACCAATCTGTGCAGGAGAAGAATCGGAGAATACAGTAAAGCAGTTAATTGTAATTTTGTACGGTTATTATTATTTTTTTGGTTATATCCCCGATTCAGTCCCTCAACTTTCATTTTTGGACTAAAACTACCCTCAAACTTCAAAAAGTACTAAAAAAATCCTTAAACTTCAATTTTTGGGACCAATTT